AAAATAACGTGTACTTGCACACATTTATGTGACAGAGAGAAAAGATGAGGGATGAATATGAAAAAGTAAATACAGCAAATATACCAAAATTCTAACATTTGGGAGCACTAGATGAAGGACATCAGACATTCTTTGTACTAATATTAATTTTTCTGCAAATCTGTAGTTACAGCAATATAAAAATTTAAATAAATGCCTTCAAAATGGACTTTGGATGAAGCATGATATATTTGTTTATTTTCATTTTGCTTTGTGCCAATCCCAGTGCATAATTAAGCAGATTAGAAAGGGAAGGCCCCAGAGGCCTCCCCTAATTCATTCACAGAGTTGGTAGTGATTTTTTGGGGTAGAGAGCCAAAGAAAGGGAGGGATGGAGAGCCAGAGAATGGAGAGGGAAGAGAGAACAAACTCCCTATTTTACAATAGAATTTATTTATTTATTTAAAGATTTATTTATTTATTTATACAAGCACTGGGTACAGTCAGAAGCGCGAGAGAGTGAGAGAAATCACCAGAGCCAGAGCGGGGAGCAGAACAGGCAGACTGACAAAGTACACTGCTGAGGGGAGCAGCGGGCGTGGCAGGAGAGGTCTGCGTGCCATGTGGGACCCTCGCTGGTGGCCGGGGATCGAACCAGCGCTGCAGAGGCTGCAGGCAGCTTTGCAGCCCAGTGCTCAACCTCTGCGCCACCAAGGAGGCCCTTTACAATAGAATTTAAAGGAGATGACAGACTCTCCAGAGTAGAGGGTCAGCTCAGGAAAGAGGGCTGCAGGTGTAGTGGGGCCTCTTCCAACCTGGTGCTCAGAACATACATTATGCATTTGTGGTTCAAAGCACTGTCATCTTCCTGAATAAGATGTATTTCTTAATCTGCAGCAATGTGGGGATAATGACAAAAACCAGGGATCCTTTCTGATGACACCAGCAAGGCGCATTAAGATTTGTTTCCCACTCTGTCTGCTATTTCCACAACTTTTGTTGTCAACTATATGAGCAACAGAGATGAGAAAACTGTAGTTATTTGGATAGGAAAAAAATTGTAGAAAATAATAGTTCTTGCGGAAAACCTTCCTGATATTGAAAGCTAGACACAACATTTGAATTTCTTATATTATGATAAGCACTAATAGGCATTATCTCCTTTTGTGTCTGTAGTTGAGAAAATGCAACATACCTTAAAGACCTTTAGTTTATAACAGAAAATACCACATAATAAGTATATTGGTTATACCATAAAAACTAGAATTTGCCCCATATCTGTCTGATGTTTTCCTTGGTAGTGTATAGTCCAGGCAGGGTAGTTTCAGATATAGGCTTGGCTTTGAAGAAGCTTCAGAGACCATTAAGCTCAGAGCTCTTTTCTGAGGGGTTCCTTATGACAGGTTGACCAGCCAATTCACAGCTCAGCTGACTGGATCAGGGCTCAGCACCTGACCCACGGCAGAATAAAGTCAGCCAGCAGCTGGTACAGTGGTGGCTGACACAAAAGCTTTACTCAAAGTCTTGCTTTCTACTTACTGCTTTTCTATACAAACCAGAGATGCTCTCTAGAAGGGTCTGAATCTGAGTGGGGGGTGGGGGGGAAGAAAAAGAGTTCAGCAATAGACTGCCCCAGAAATAGAGGGACAAAGAGAAATGACAACAAATAGGATTCATGAATAAGTATATAGAAACAAGTCAGCAGAAGCCATAAGATGAAGAGAAGGTGAAAGCAATGTTAGCTGAGGCCCGGACAGAAGGAGTGAGCTGCCATAATGTCATAGCATGGAGGAAAATAACAGGTGGCTGTTTACTTGGGACAAGTTGCCAGAGTTGAGGAGTTGATATGGCAACTTTCACTCTGCCACTTAGACTATCAACCAATACATAGCAAAAGGAATAGACAGAGGGACCATGCACTTCCTGATTCAGTTCAGAATGACTGGAAAATTAAGCTCAGCCTAGAGGTGTGTTTGGTATCACTAAGCAAATATAAGTGACACTAAATGGATGTGGTTTTAATAGAGCTTCTAGTCTTTTCCTTGGGGAAAACTTCTATGAAACTTTAAGTGTCTCAGACTTTAAAAGGGTCTTATTCTTCAATACCGATAAAAAGGGAAGGGACAATCTGTGAAATCTTTGGTCTATTAATATCTTTAGAGGATAACAAAATGTAAGAAGCACAGTATTTTGATCATCCAGTGGATCCTATCCCATTTTTAACATAGGTGGGTACGAATTTCTTTTCATTTAATTTGGTTATGAGATTCCAAAAATGTATTCCAAAAATACAAGAAACCAAAAATGTCTCTCACTAGCTTTTTCACTAGACCAGCTTGCGCAGAGCCAGTGCTATTAGCTACATAATTGAAGTGACATTCGTTTGCAAATATAGAAATATCTGGCATTCAGGTATGGGAGGAAAAGTTAGGATATTAAACATTCCTGTGTACTCAGTCCTCCATCATTATCAAAAGCAGAAATATCACAATGCATTTTCCATCCACATTTACCTCTGTAACTTTCCAAAGAAAGGAGATTGGAATATTAGTCAACAGTATGGCCCTAATATAGTCTCCCTTCTTCACCTTCCCAATCTCTTTGGGATTTACAAAGACCTGGGACATTTGAGAAAAAACTTAAGATGCCAGAGCCTGCTTTAACGATTAATTCATCAACAACAAAATCAAAATTAGTAAAATTACATGGTTTTCTCTGTGACATCTTATTTTGTAGACTTTTTTCTCCATAATGTCTACATTTTGCCATTCAGGTATTGGTTAGAAAGTCCACTGCACAGGCTATAGTAAGTCAATATACAGGTTATATTATTTTATAAGATATAGAAATCTCTATAAAATGGCCCCATTAGATTAAAATTCACAATCCACAAAGGTGAGATTAAAATGATTTCTTTTTCTGTTGACTGCCAGAAAGCTCTTAGAGCCCAGCTTCCTGGTAGCTTTTCAGAGAAAAAGACAAACTTACATGTTTCCTCAGTATAGCAGTAAATCAAGTTGAGGAATACGGATTTAGAAGAAAACAAAAACAATAATAATATTAAAACTTTAAAATTTGATGCAAAATGACAAAACCAATAGAGAACATATTTGTATAGCCATCAGGTAAGTTTAGAGGGATCGCTCCACTACAGACACATATAACCTTGAATCTAGTTTTTAAAATATACTGCAAAGAATACATTTTATTAAGGCTTGAGAATACTGATGGCTGCCATTCTGAGCACCTCAAAAAAAAATCTCTACAATTAGCAATTTTCGAGACCATTTATAGACAATGCTTCTATCCAGTGAGCTTGATTTGATTTTACAAGCAGAAGCTGGCCTGAAACACGTTCTAGCAGCTTTGACTGGCCAACCTCAGGTCAGGGGTCTCAAAAGCGCTGAGAAGAAAGGACACAGCCTGTGATTGAAATTCAGGCTGGCTGTGTGCATGTGTGCCTGAGGAAGCAGCACAAATAAAGTCCACTTTTTGTTTTGTTCTAGTGACTTGGCTAAGAGATTTACAAGGCCAGGGGTCCTCATTATGGTAATACAGGTTAAATACTTTAAAAAGCATATGAAGCATCCTCATGAATTAAAACCATTCTTAGAACTGGGAGGTAACTGGTAACTGGTTAAAAACTCAGTCCCACTTTCTCTGACCAACTGAAATTCAGAGTGGGAGTACAAGTGCTAACAGGGGAATATAGGTTGTGCTTCTAGGTAACTTTTATCCAATAGGGAGAAATAATTTGAAAAGTGAAAAATCTTACTCTTACTAATTGAACAGGCAAATCTACTAGTAATATTTATAGACTGGCATTTACACATCTTCTTTTATCTGGGAATCTTTTACCTCCAAAGCATTCATAAATCGCCACCATACTCCTGAGAGGCCAAAACTGACCCCCCACATTGAGCACATATAAAAGCTAAGGCTAGCAATAGCTAAAGATTCTGGCAAATCACCCCTAGATAATATGAACAGTTTAATGTGCTGTCATTGCCTTGCTGAAAATTCAGTCTGTTAACATACTTCATAGTAGGAGAGGAAGGAAGAGGAACTCCTGCAATGCTGTATACATCCTATGTTTCATTCCATTATTTCATTACTGATCATCCACACAAGCAAGTAACAAAGATGGACTAGCAAATCAAAAGCTTTCATGACAAAAAAGTTCATTCTCTATTTGCTTTAGTCATATTACATTGCCTGAAAAAACATATGTAAGGACAGAGTTAAAAAAAACAACAACAGACATTTCCATCTGGCAATAAAGAACAGCCTTTTCAGAAGTTACTCTCTTAATATTTATTTGTGGGAAACATGAATGATGGGCAGGCTGACATGTCTAGAAATTCCTTTGTTTAGATTAAGCTTCCTATCTACAAAATGGTGGAGATCAAAGAATCGAATAGGAAACAGAAAAGTTCCAACAGGACAAGATCTGTACCAGGGGACAGGCAGGTCCAGAAGTGGATGAATGGCTCACATTGCAACTGAGCTAAAATAGGGAGCACACATCCTTTCCAAGGGATGAGCCTCCATTCAATTACACACACAGACTTCTGGAGGGAATGGTCTGCAGTATTACCAGACTTGTTGATTTTTCAAGAAAAGTCAGAAATTCAGACTTTGTAGAAAATCTCTCATTTAAAGATGAGAGCCACTGATTTAAAAAATATTGTGTGGGCCAAACGAAGCAGATCTGTGACTTAGATATAACCCAAGATTAACCTTTTTCTCACCTCAGGAAAGAATAGGTAAGTAACAATTTGTTTATCACTAAAAAGGTTTGCGTCTGACGACATCAATGAAATGCAATTTTAGTTAGAATCCAGCAGATGCTTGAAAATATGGAAATGACTGATCACACTCTATATCAGTTGAATCTGATAAAAAACATAGTGAACATAAAACTCATAAGTATTTGGAAAAACAAGAATTTGAAATATTTCATTTGAAAGATCTATTGACTTCTATCAATGTTATTTTCCAAGTAAAATAGATCATCTTACCTGTGCTCTCTTGAGAATATTGTGCTCATCAGTGCTTGCTATTTGATAGACTTTTGCCATAACTATTGTTTTTCCCAAAGGCCCGCATGCTCTCTCCAGCTTCTGGTTGCAATCTTACATTTGGAACAGTAAAAATAGAAGACACTGTGGACAGAATGAAAGTTTTCATTTATATGTTTATAGATGAATCTATAATCTTTTAAAAAATGGAGATGGGCCTCTCTGGTGGCACAAGGGTTTAAGATGCAACCTATGAAGTTATGCACAGCCACTGCAGCATGAGTTTTATCTCCAGCCAGGGAGCAACCCACATGGCGCATTAGACCTCTCCTGACTCGCCCGCTGCTCCCCTCAGCGGTGTATTTCAGTCAGTCTGCCTGTTCTGTTCCCCGCTCTGTCTCTGGTGAATCCTCTCAACATCTACACCTCTGGCCTGTACCCCAGTTCTTGTATACATAAATAAGTAAATCTTTAAAAATAAAATAAAATAAAATGGAGGAGATGCAAATCTGGATGTCCAGGAAAATCATGGTATGTGTCAGTATTTGAAATGTCAAATGGCCACAGACACACATGCATTTACACAGATTCACATACACACGTGACAGGATAGTCGGTCTTCTCCTCAAACCTCAGTTCAGTTGAGCTCATATTTTTCTGATTTAGAACAATTAACTTATATTTGAAAACAACATTTTGCCCTTTCTTCATGGCATTCATTCCCTCATTGGAGAGGGAATCATTGAGCCCACACTGTTCTAGTTATATCAAAATCCTGCAGTATATAAATCAAAACTAAAGAAATTCCTGTTCTCATAGATTCCATAAGAAGGACAGAGATGATAAACAATTAAACAAATAAATCAACTAGTAGTAAGTGTTATGAAGAAATAAAGAATAGGGATGAGAAACTGCAAATGTGGATTGCTACAGTAGGTCAATGAAGGTTTCCTTGATAAGGTCCCTTTGAACTGAGACACAATGGTGGTAAGAGGGCAAGTCATGGCTATGTCTAAAGGAACAGCAATTGCAAAAGGGTAAAAAGGGAAACATTGAGAGTTAACTTTAAAAACCAAGAAGAGAAGCAGGCAAAACAGGAGGTTGTAAAAAAAAAACAGGTGAAAGAAGACATGAGTGGCTTGGGCAGGGGGACTGCAGTTGAGAAACGGTATGATTCTGGATATATTTTGAAGGTGGTGTCAACAGAGTCTGTAAAAGAATTGTGTTTGTGTGTGATAAAAGAAGAAGAGTCAAAGATAACTTCCATCAACTGGAAGAATGACATTGCCATTGATTGACAAGGGAGGAGCCAGTGTGGGCTAAAGATCTGAAATTCAGTTCTGGTAACATAAGTTTGAAATGCCTACAGTGGTACCTGGAGATACTCTGGTATCTGAGTATTTAGTTGGATATGCAAGCCTGGATGGAGTCAGGGAAGTTGAAATTGGAGAAAGAAATTGGAAACTGCCAGTGTATAACTGATACTTAAATCACAAGACTGAATGAGATCATCTGAACTCCAGGGAGAGTACACAAAAAGGTTTTGAGGAGTAAGCCCCAGGGAACTGTAACACCAGGTGCCTGGGGGGATGAGGGAAAATCACCAAAGCAGTCTGAAAAGGAGAGTTGAGGGAGGCCAAAGGAAAACCTTGGGAATGCCTGTCTTGGATTCCAAGGTGAAGGAACTATTAATAGGAGGAGATGGTGGGCAACTGTGTTGAATTCAGCTAATGGATTAGGATGATGGGTGGGAAATAACCAAAGGATAGAGGTTTTTGAAATCTCCAGTTCCCAAGTCTTGGGTGCAAAAGCCTGATTTGAAAGGATTCAAGAGAGCAAGGAAGTCTAGAACTGGAGGCGGCAAATATGTGTGAATCAATGTATTAATTTTTAAACAATAGCATGTAACTACATGAATAGCATAATATTGTTTTAAGATATCTACAGGAATAAGTTTGAACATTAAAGCTGGAAAGGTCCTTCAGCATCACTGTGTCTCTACATGAGAAAATGGAAACATAACAGAGACTAAGGCACTGGCCCAAAGTGGCCCAGTGAGTTACCAGAGGAGCTGAAGCTAGAATCCAGGTGGGCTGAGTCTCAGCGCAGTGCTCTTCACACTGCACCGATTTGTTGGCCCTCTTTTACCACAGATCCGTTTTGTGGATTAGCAAATGAATGTTAATAAAATCAAGGACTCTGTGCTATGAAGTGTATTTTGTTCATTTACTTTGACAAGGGTTGTTCAGCTTCAATAATTTATGTAACTTGATCGTATACACAAGAGAATGCCCTGTGCTGTATTTGGGAAAAGTAATGAATTTCCTCTAAATCAGCCCTACATTGACTTCCCTGCAATTAAATCTTTGTGCAGAAGTGGGGCAAAGCTGTTGGGGTTTTGGGAGAGGGAGTGTGACGGGGTGCCACCAAAATTCACAGCGTTCACCAGCAAATCCCCCAGTAACTGCACTATTGTACACTTGTATCTTGTTTATTGAATTGGTAATTCCCACTTTGCTGGCATACTAATATATTACTTTCAAATGTTGGTATTATATAAACGAATGGAGTTTTAGGGAAAAGTATAATAAAGACACTATCTGTTACATATTCTTCCAAAGCAAAGAGAGTCTGGCCTAAGTAGGCAACTTCATTTTTATACTAATCTATGTGACTGCAGTGCTCAGTGTAACCAGATCCTCTTCATACTCTTTTCATAGGATCTGATATATTAAAGTAGGTCAAGAAGGCTCAAGTCCACTTTGAACTTATTTTTGTTCCAGTCTTCTCCTTTTACCTGGCTTTGCTTTCTGCTTGCATAAGTGCTTCTTTTTTGTAGATGTTCTTTTAAAAAAATGCCATGAACTATCTTTAAGATTGTGAGAGCTGTGGAGTGAACGTGTCCCCCTGAAATTCACATGTTGAAGCACTGACCTCCCCAATCTGATGATAGTTAGAGAGGGGGCCTCTGGATAGTAATTAGGTTAGGTGAGGTCATGAAGGTGGGGCCCTCATGATGAGATTAGTGTATTTATAAGAAGAGGAAGACAGTAGCCAGGAATCAAATTTATAAACCCCTTAATCTTGGACTTTAGAACTGTGAGAATGAAATGTCTGTTGTTTAAGTCTCCCAGTCTATGGTATTTTGTCACAGCTTCCTGAGCAGACTATGTATTAGTATAAGGCTCCTGGAATTAATGAATCTGAATCACAGCCTGGCTGCCAAGACAATCCATTTATTGATTCAGCTACACTTCCTTCTAGGTGGACCACCTTCCAAATCTCCTTGAAGAGGAAGCACATGAGGGTTATGCTGCTGTTGCTGCTACTGCCACTGCCCTGTGCCAGGGGGTGAACTTTTACATGACTCCATACACAAGTAAAATTTAATTTTAAGAATTTCTAAATATAGTCTATGGAATATTAACCTAAACAACAGTCTTCAACACCGGTCATTTCACCTAAAAAAACTAGTTCCCAAAGTCTAGGGATTCTTTGTTTTGTAAACATGTTTGTCAGGTCCACCACATTGCCTAAATGAAATGACTGTAATATTAAACACTGGGATTGTCCTTTCTTTCGACTGGGTTTATACTTCATAATGATTATCTTCTAGACACAGAAATAGCATTTCTGTAACTCAAAATTGTTACCGGAGGCATTTAGCAGAATCTTGCTTTAAAAATATAATGATTTTTCATCTTTATTCTCCCCCCTTCAAAAGGTTTCACTGCTCCTGATGTTTAACGTTATGCAAAGACGTGTTTCTGCCAATGAATATCGCCTTATGGTTATGCTTCTGCAAATAGCCTGCTGTGAGCTGATAAAGGGATTAATGCAGCCAAAATTCTTAATCTGTGAAATTACAAATTAAATTCTCATATTAAAAATACCACCCTGAGGTATTTTTTGTGGTTTTAATTCCCCTCTGGTGTTCTGCATATATTGTGCTTGTTAATGACTGGGACAAGGCTGTCTCTGTTGGCAGCCTGCTGCACAGTGATAATGTGGAGGCATTTACTCACTGATAGAAACTGGATTTAACACTGGCTGATAAACTAAGTGGCAAGTGGGTAATAAGTCCATATTAACAGAAAAGTACTACTACAGAATTCAGAATGCCGTCAAAATCCTGGCTTAAACTCAATCATCGAGTCAGATGGGATTGAGATGTCACCAAGGAGGAGTGAGATCATTACAAGTTACACTAAATGGGAAAACAAGCCATATGTTGGAGTTTGATGAACCATAAACTAATGAACCTATTTACATTATTTATTTTTTTCAGGATAGGCAGATATGTCATTAATTCATTACTTTTCCAGAGGGATTTCACCTTTTTTTTCTTAAAATGGGGCCAGCTCTGTAGACTTTTAGAAGGATGTAGGGTAGAATATAGAAAAAACACGAGTTGGCACTATAGGAAATGACTTACTAAGCATAGAAGGAGTAGTAAATTAATATATCTGTGGTCTCTTTAGGGTTAAAAAAAGTAATTAAAATTAAATGTGGGTTATCAAAAGAGATTCAGGGTAAGAATAGCCAAGCAGAATTGTTACTTGGGCCTTCGTGCCCAAATGAAGGGTTATTGTTGTCATGAAGAATTCAATATTAGAGAGAGTGTAAAGTCCAAGAGATCAAAGAAACAACTTTATAAATGTCTATGGTAGATGCTGTACACCCAAGAATTAATAAGGCATAGTATAAATATTTACACATATACACAGTATGTTAATTTTTAAGGCACAGTAAAGAGTGTGAGAAAAATTTCTCTGATTGGTATTTAGAAAGAACGTTATCACCACTGTACAAAAAATTTCTTACTGCAACAGTGTTTTGTAAAATTTCACAAGAGTTCTGTTTCACACTTTGGAAGAAAGATGAGATCCTCCCAGCCATAAATCCTCCCCCCCAAATATTTAAAATATAATTGAAAAGGGCTGTGTAAATATGAACACTTTTGTAAAAACAAAACAAAAACCCACCCAAGAATGTGTTTTGTTTTAAAAGATCCAGAGAAGAGCAGTCTGTATGAATACCAAGAGCATTTGTAGTTAAAATGAATTACATGTCTTCAGTTCTTACATGTCAATTTAGTGCATTAGCCAATTGCCAACTCTGTTCGTCAGCTCACTGCATAGCAGTCCTTTTTAAGGTTATTATTACAACCAAGATGGTCTCCGAGAATCAAACAAAAATGAATCATTTCTCCTCTGTGTATTGCAGCCAGTCAGAAAGTATTGCATGCATAAAGCACTAAATATGTAAATCATATTTTCCTTTTCCTTTATGATGGCTCAGATCATTTTTTTGGACACACACATAACCAGATACAAAGACATGCAGCTGCAGACTGCAGAGCAGAGATAGCAAAAAAAGGAATCCATTTTCTTCCTATTTCGGGTAAGCTAGTAATTGAATGGCAGGATTCCACTGAATATATACACCAACAACCACCCTGTCCTTCCTCCCTCTGCCCATCTCTAAATTCACATACATGCTTATATGTATGCATGTAATACACACATTGATTAATCTGGCTTACACACATGAAAACATGATTTATTCTATATTCATGTTACATATAACTGCTAAAATGATGTCCCTAGTTTGATTGGTTGTTGAAAATTTGTCATACTCACTATCAGTCAGTTCCCATAGCCGTGGAGGCAGGTCACTAAAATACTCATGGCTCAAGGCGGCCTGTGCTGATAGTCTGTTCTTTGGGGAACACTGTAGGAGTTTGGAGGCCAGATCTTCTGCATGATTCACATAGCTGAGCCTGAAAACACAAGCAAAACAGAGACATCAGAACAGAGAAGAAACTCTACTACATAAGACATAAGGCTCACATAATTTTTTTGGACTTATTTATTGTTGGCAAATAAAAAAAAAACCTAAATTACCTGTTGAAAATATACAAAAGCAAGATTCACATTGGTTCTTAAAGTCTCTTTTCCTCTAAAATGACTTTACTCTTGCTATCTTAGTCTTACTGATTTAAAATATTTCTATTATAAGCAAATGGTTGATTCTTTCAGGATACAGCTGGTTCAGAGGTAGCAAATTTATGTAGACTATTTATCAAATAATTGCCAGAATTTTGTCCTAGAACTTATACTGTATAAGTATCTAGATACCTCTATAAGAAATTAATGGAAAGTAAATAGAAAAAAACTAAAATAAAACTGTTATTCAGGGCCTCCCCGGTAGCACAAGAGATTAAGCACAGACTGTGAAGCTATCCGCAGCCTGTGCAGCATGAGTTTGATCCCTGGCCGGCCAGGAAACTGACCCACATGGCACAGCAGACCTCTCCTGTCTCGCCCACTGCTCCCCTCAGCAGTGTTTTTCAGCTGATCTGCCTGTTCTGCTTCCCACTCTGTTTCTGGTGAATCCCCATCACCACCCCCCACACCTCTGGCCTGTACCCCAGTTCTTGTATGCATAAATAAATAAATCTTTAAAAAACAAACAAACAGAACTGTTATTCAATTCTCCAGTTACTAAAGCCACTTTTCCTCTAAGAATTTGCACCTTCTTATATTGAGTTTGAAATTACTGGAATGAGTACTCTTCTAAATATCAACAATCATGCAGGTTAACAAAGGGGATACGCTTTAACCAGATGGAGCCAAATCAATTCAAGATGACCTTTAAGACAACAGTAGGTAGAAAATATGTGTCTCAAGATTACAAAAAAAGCAGAGAAGTTAAGTCTTCCATGTGGTACACTTTCAAATGGTAGCGGTCCAGGGCAGCCTTGTTTATCATGCATTCTCTATTTCATTACTTAGTGCAATCAAACCCAGACAATTACCATCATAATGATAGTAAGTGTTCATAATCATTTGTGTATAGTTGAATATATGTCAAGCACTTCCCTAGGCACTTTCACGATCTCTCATATTTATTATTGTCCAACAAGGCAATGCTGTTCCCCTCTAACAGAAGTGGAAGCTAAGTAGGAGAAGGTAGTGGATTGCTCAATTAGCAGGTTGAGTGAATTCAAATCATCCAGGACTACCTGACTCTCAAGTGGTTTGCATTTGCCATGCTCTCAGATAATCTCTAAGGGCTTTTACGCAAGGATTCCTGAGTTTCTGCAACAAGTCGCAAAAAGTACAGTGACTCTCAAAGGTGGCCAGACGGGAGTGAAGGAAAGTTGCTTCTACCATTGAAAGCCATGAAAGCCCTAGACTCACAATTTAACAATAAGCATCATTCTGGAATGATCAACAACTCTCCCCTTTCCCTTCCACAAGCAGCTCTTTAGTATTGATTTAAAACAGTTATGGGGGCAAGATGGTTGGGAATGAAGAAGAGGAGAGGAAGTAACATATTGAGTAGAGGATGGGAAAAGGAAAAGAGCAAAGAAAAATATTGCTCCCAAAAGCCAACCAAAGAGAACTTGTCTCTAAATTTTCATACATGAAGAACTCACAGATGAATTCAGAGTTTGACCACTGCAATGGCTAAATTTTGAAAACTGATCAATAGCTTGGTTTCATACGTCTCTACCTGGCAAAGAGAAATTTCTTCATAGGAAAAGAAAGAACTCTCAAAATTCTCTACAATGTTTCCCCCTTCCCTTTAAGGGCCTAGGACCATCCAGGTTATTCCTTTCTTTTCACAAAACTTCCTCAATATCATAAACTTTTCATTATTTTTTTGAAAAATATCAAATGCAAAGTTTGTGATAGCTAAACTTCATCGTAAAATTTGCACTTATATTGGATGCACAGCTTATATATAATCCTGGTGAGCAATACATCAGCATCAATTTTACATAGCTTTGAAAAAAGAGAACAAGAGTGTCAGATGGAGCCTACATCTGTGTTTTAGGCCTAATTTTGTTACAAGAGTGATGACCCCATTATATCTGCAATCGTTCTAGCTCCAACAAGTCATGAATTGCCCTTGACATATAATTTCACTGTTTTGAATCATTATGAATATTTAGAGTTGTGTTTCTTTTTGCAATAGACTATTGATCACAGTAATGCATGCATATGCAACTAAATATAAGAAATTAACCATTACCCTTCCCTCAAATTGACTAAACTTGTTAGTAACATTGATGAAATAAATGAATGTTTGTGATACTCAGTTTATTTGTGCACAAATATTTATGCATAGAATTTTAATTTAGAAATTTGCATTTCAAGAACTAATTTTATTCCAGCTTTCCATATGCATTGTCAACATCTGTCTTTGTCATTATCAGAACCACTTTTTGAGTCCATTTATGTTGTTTAAGATATGACATTTCTCTGATATCTTATTTGGAAGTTTTATTCTAATCCTTAAGTGCACCTTATCGAAATGTTAGAATGACTGTGGTTGTGGTGGTTGCTTATAAATTCCCATTGTGATGGCAAATTTTTAAATATTTCCTTGTAACTCCATCAATTTTTGTTTTCTATATTCTAAAGCAGGGTAATTAAATGCATAACAGTCTAGCACTGTTATCTCTTTCTAGTAAATTAACTCATTAATCCTTCTGTAGTGACCCTCTTTATCTTTAATAAAGCTTTATGGGCTAAAGTTCACTTTTTTCTCATATTAATTTAATGACTTTAATCTCTTGTTTAGTATTTCCTGGTATACCTTTTGTTACCATCTTTTCATGTTTCATTCCCACAATTTTAAGGTGTCTCTTTCATAAATATTATATAGTCAGGTTTAGTATTTATTCAATTAAACAATCCTCTATCTTTGAAGGACAAAATTTAGTCTACTTAGATTTTGTGATTACTAATATATTTGGAATTACCTGCCATTTAATTCTTGCCTTCTATTTTGTGCTGCTTTACCTTTTTTCCTTCTTTTCCTACCTTCTTTTGGATTTTAAAAATTCAACATTTTCCTTTTTTTGTTTTAGAAGTTATATATTCTATTTTGTTGTGTTTAGTGATTACTCTCAGCTTTTCCTATTTTCGCATTTCAATATTTAGATGTTTAAACCCTCACACTAAGTTTTTACAAGCTGGTGGACAGTGAGAAATAATTTTTGCCCCAGACCTATAATCATACATTCCAGAATATATGATTAATTAATATCACTATACATTTCATTAATTGCACAATAAGCCCAATTATCAACTATATAAATAATAAGTTACAGAGCACATCAGGAATATAAAATACTGGATGTCTTTCCCATTCATTAGTAGAAACTAATTTCTCTTTCTGCAAAAAAATATTGGGGGAGATGGAAAAAAAAATCACTCAAACACAAATAGATGGCCAATGATTTCCAGTAAAAGTGGGGAAAATTGACACAATTTTCTGAAATTTTATGATTAACAATTATTTTCATTACAACTACAAAGCATCTCTACCTTTAAACTAATATTTACTAAACTGAAGGGCATATTCCATACATCTGCACCAGACAAGCACAACATTTTGCTAAGAATACTTAATAGCTCATTCCCAGTTTTTTTTCATGTCCTCTCTTTTAAGTTGCACCCAAAAGTGAAAACATTAAATTAACTTTAAGACATTTTTATCTGGTGACATTAAAAATATGTGCTTCTGTATAATGTGGACTTTATATGAACTTTTCAACCGAAGGTTTGCAATTTTCAAAGTGAGGTTTTCATAAAGGCACAAAATGAGAGTTATAGCAAGACATTTACAAATCATCAAACTTGATCAAAAGTCAACAAGATCTGTGGTTACACAAACCAAATGTATATTGTCCTAAATGTGGGATATATAAAGTAGCAGGAAAATAGCTGCTGAGGCCCTAATGTCAATGTTTGAAATGACTGAAGGGATAAACTATAGACAATCTAGACTATTTTTCATAGTTCCTGGGGCTTTAGTTCTGTATGATTATGCACAAATAGCATACTGGGTATTTTGGCATCCAATCTAAGTTTCTTATAAATTGATAAAATTCAGGAATGGGAACAGATTTGAAGAAGGAAAGGTCAATTGACAAAAATGATAAGCACATTCTAAATGCTGAACAGCAAGAATCTTTTGCTAACTTTTCAAGCCAGTTGATCATAATCCAAACACAGAGGCTGCAATTCTGGCAAGCTTGGTGCCTGAGGAACCTGATCAAAACTCCTATGAAATCTTTAGATTTCTCATTCATAGAATCTACATGTTGGATAATATGCATGGTAACTGGGTCCTGTGTTAAGTCCCATTTCCAAGACAATGGCTTCAGGCAGCCCAGTTTTATTGACTACTGGTACTGGGAAGTGCAGCTGCATTTCTTTTTTCTTTTCTTAAATTTTTTTTTTTAAAGATTTATTTATTTAGGGCCTTCCCTGGTGGCACAGCGGTTGAGCGCTGGGCTGCGAAGCTGCCTGCAGCCTCTGCAGCGCCGGTTCGAACTCCAGCCGCCAGCGAGGGTCCCACATGGTGCATAGACCTCTCCTGTCGTGCCTGCTGCTCCCCTCAGCAGTGTATTTCGTCACTCTGCCTGTTCTGTTTCTGGCTCTGGTGAATTTTCTCACCCTCCCCGCTTCTGACTGTAACCTAGTGCTTGAAGCACTAGGGTGAGAGAATTCACCAGAGCCAGAGCGGGGAACAGAACAGGCAGACCGAGGAAGTACACTGCTGAGGGGAGCAGAGGGCACAGCAGGAGAGGTCTATGCACCATGTGGGACCCTCGCCAGTGGCTGGGGATCGAACCGGCACTGCAGAGGCTGCGGGCAGCTTCGCAGCCCAGCGCTCAGCCGCTGTGCCACCGGGGGAGGCCCTGCATTTTTATTTTCTGCTGCACTATATGTGGGTTAGCTCTCTAGCCAGGGATAGAAC